TTTATACATTATATCACAAATATTTCCGACTTTGTATGGTTTCAGAGGAGTTGCGGCTCAATGAAATCGGTCTCTTCCTTTAGTAGTATAGATATCACCTTTTAATCCCTGCAACGGACCATTTATCAACAGAAATAAAGATGATAAAATTGAGAATGGAAATGGGGAATGTGTCAAAGAGACAACAACCCCATCAAAGAGCAGAAAACAGCACAAGGCCACCAACGGGTCTTCAACCACTTGAACAAATGTGTATTAGTTCAGTGAAAATGGACGTCACACTAAACTCCGAAACATTTAAATGACCACATATACATTGATATAGAACAAATGAAATCACAGAACATTATGTTTATAAAAAATCACTCTTGTTTTTTTTTATTAAGTTTTATTTATAAATATACTGTATGAAAATCAACCGCACCATGCAACATGCAACAAACAATATGCAACATGCAACATAGTAGTTCCCTCATAAACATAAATTAAAAGTATACACAGGCCAGAATCTGAGCGTTTTTTGCTATGAAAAAAAAAACATTGACGAAAAAGGGTCATTTATTCCAAATCATAAAATGCAAGAAATGCATTTTTCAAATAAAACATTTGACATAAATGTTTATAATTTAAATGGAATTATAATACATAAGTAATACGAAATTACATAAACTAAAGTCATATCAATTAAATAAATGACAAAGAATAGCAAAGGTGAGAACAATAATCTGCCCCACTAAGAACCATATATACATTGTACATGAAGGCAACAGTAGTATACCGCTGTTCAATAGTCACGAACATATCTACTTCGAATTCTAAAGATACAATCAAGGGAGGTATGCGGGTGGGAATTTAAATTTCACACTTGTTCTTTAATATAAATTACAAGTTTACAAGTTGAAAGCTGATGATAAAAAGAAGTGCACAAATAATACTGTAACGGTATAGGGGGTAGGCTGTAGGTTTGTACATACGACTTTTTCGGGCTAATCAGTAAACACTAACTTCTATTTTCGCGTCCGTCGTTTACTGTTAGTCAAGGTGTATATAAAGACATTTGATGAACATTACATATAATTTTATTGTTATTGTATATAAATATTGTTAGTAAGGTCTCTGGGAATAATGATATAGAGTTCGTCTTCACTGTTTAACCAGGGGGTCCCTTGACTGAACGACGGTTCCCAACTTCTGTTTACCATTATTTCACACGTTCCCGCTTTATTACCTTGCTAGTTTATTTGCGTAAGGCCCGAATATTGTAACTGGGGCCCATACATGCTAAGAGTAAGCTTAGTTAATTTCCGTTTGTCCATTTCCCGACTTGACAGAATGTCAACATTCGCAATCGCCGCCATTTGCATCATCAAGTTTATTGACGTCGTTACCTAATGACCTGAGATCAGCATCCAATCAGCTTTACGTAATTTGCCCACAATCACCATATGGGCACGAGACTTTGGTGGGACAGATGTATAAAAGCGAGTGCACATGAGTCTTCAAGGAGACTGCGGCCCGCTACCAGGGCGTCCACTCCTGATACCAAGGAAATTACCAAATAAAACCAAATACGCCGCAGTCGATGCAACACGTAAAATATGCGTACCTTTGATAGTGTATACATCTCCGTTGGATAAATGGACCAAACCATGATTGACCTAGATGTTTTAGATCTACTACGTTTACTACGATGTTGACAAACGATTAACGTACCAAAAAGGGGGGTCTCTGTTTATTTTATAACGAAAGTGCTCTGGTGGGTTTTCATGTGATTTATACTTGTAATAGTATAGATTGTTTGCATATAATAAATTGTGAAGTTTAATTAATCTTATTATTTGTTGTACATGTAATAAGTAAGTCAATGTTAATGCGGAGTTTCTGCGCTACCATATTTAAACCAGTGCCTTAGCTGTTTTGTCTGCTACGCTACCAGTACCTTGATCATTATGTCAGCTACGCTACCAGTATTACATAGTTTGTGACTCGACACCAGAGTATGCAGATAGTAGAATTGACCAATAACATAGTTACCAGTGTGTTAACCTACATACTCATACTGTTACTTATGGGACACACCCCCGTCCCGTTACATTTGGTGTCCGGCGGTGGGATACGTATAAACCAAACCTCGAGAGTAGAGACTAGAGCCATTATATATTTATTTAACGAAATTTATTGACCAACCATTTGTACAACAGATTTAATTGATATCAACATGAGTAATTGTGTCAGCCCTTCAGAAAATTTTGTTCCTAACAGTCATGTGTCTACCCCGATTAGTGAAAATTCGTGTGCATCAAAACCAGATGTTGTAGTAAATACCATGAGCAAGAAAGTTGAGGTCATTACAAATATAGTGAACCAGTTCAGCAGAAATTTGAATACCTTAGGGGACCATGTTCATAATTTTGAAATTCAGTTACAGATAACTAATGAAAAAGTAGAAAAACTTGCAATTATGAATGAATCACTTTTTATTAGTATATCCAGAATAGGAGACCAAGTGGCAAATTTGTGTAGGAGTGTTTTAGATAATATACCAAAAGTTAACAATGATTGTTCAGGTGAGCATACAATTTCTTATGTTACAAATAATGTATGTGGGAGTAGTGAATCAAATCAGTCTAACCGAGAACCAGTATACAGCGAGACTATTGGGTATACCAAACCATCAATGTATAATGGGACCACTAACTGGCTAGAGTACAAGTTACATTTTGAGGCTGTTGCAAAATTAAATTATTGGTCTGAAGATATCAAAGTTTTAAAGCTTATTACATGTATGAATGGTGCTGCTTTATCGACCTTAGCTGATATTGAAATAGATAATATCCCAACATATTGTAATTTAGTTAAAATATTAACCAAAATGTTTGCTCCTGAAAACCTGACAGATGTTTATATGTCACAAATTGATGCTTGTAATAGAATACCAGGTCAACCATTACAGGAACTGGCTGATAATATAAAAAGGCTAGTCAGAATGGCTTACCCATCAGCGACTCTCGATACCAGAGACTATTTTAACTTATAGGGCATTTAGAAAAGCACTAAATGATCATGATTTAGAATTGGCTATTGTACAAAGCAATGTAGAAACCATTGACGGGGCGTTGTACAGTGCTCTGAAATGTGAAACTTTTAGGGCTAGAGAGAAAAGGTTTAGACAGCAACCAAAATTTGAAACTGCAATTTGCATACATGCAAAGGTAAACCAGAAGTGTTATTTCTGTATTGAGAAGGAACACATCATTAGAGATTGTCCTAAGAGAACTTAATCGTCAATTTTTGTTACATTCAGATACCATGAATGTTAGCATGTGAACATGTTTTTTTTATATATATATTTGTTAATGAAATGAATTTTGTACTAATAATAGTCATTTTCGATACCTGAAAATGAGTTCGTTGAATATTTCAGTATTTATATATAGAGATAATTATACCTCGTTAGATCACGTTGTTTTGCTAGTTGAAACTGCTAAGGAGCTGTTGTGTATAAATTCACGTTTCCAATGAATAAGTTATCATAACCCTTTTTATAGACCGTTTTATGATAAACAGAGTTGTATGGTTGGATCTTTTATTGACTACCGTATTATTTACTAGTACACAGAAATATTCTGATTGACTCATCGACATGTCTGAGTGACGGATGGGATGTCAGTTGAATATATTTGGTATTGTCCCGGTGACTCACCGACGTGTCTATGTGACGGTTGGAATGTCTTTGGAATACCATGCAGTGTTTTTGTTACCTATTTTAGTTTACCAATGTTCCTGTGACTCATCGACGTGTCTGTGTGACGGATGGAAGGTCTGGAATAATTTTATTTGGTATTGTCCCGGTGACTCACCGACGTGTCTATGTGACAGGTGGAATGTCTGTGGAATATCATGCAGTATTTTTGTTACCTATATTAGTTTACCAGTGTTCCCGGTGACTCATCGACGTGTCTGTGTGACGGATGGAAGGTCTGTGGAATATTTTTCATATGGTATTGTTGTGATTCACTGACGTGTTTATGTGACGGGTGATATGCACAGTTATTGGAGTACCATTTATAAGACATTTATTTATTTAAACCAACCATACCATGAAGTTAACAACAAGTAGAGTAAGCACTTTATATTGAGACCAGATATATACTAGTATTCAGTGTTGTGAGTATCTTAATACAAGAGATACAATATTATACCATGTTTAAGACTATATATATTAATATCAGAGATATAGTATTCATACCATATATGTTATCTCAGTGCCAGAGATAAGAACTATTGATGATTATTGTGATGAATTTTACCATGTCAACAGAGACAACAACAACAGAGAAGATCCGGTTTTATTTTTTTAGTAGGTTGATAAGAAGTTATTTATTAGGTAGGTGTCCTATTTGTAGTTCGAGGACGAACTCTTTTCCTGGGTAGGGGGTAGTGTTACGGTATAGGGGGGTAGGCTGTAGGTTTGTACATACGACACCAGCTTATGCAGATAGTAGAATTGACCAATAACATAGTTACCAGTGTGTTAACCTACATACTCATACTGTTACTTATGGGACACACCCCCGTCCCGTAACAATACATATATGTGAGCTCGTGCTGACCCCGCAAGCTCATTGACTAATAAGAAAGGTGTAATCCAATCATGCAATGGTCGTAAGTTAAATTTCTCTAAACCTGAAAACGTGATATCTAATTTGAACGATTTATTGTTTAGTTTGTCAAATCGTACCCACTGACCAGTACAGAGATATCATAAATTAACAGTTTAAATAGCTACCTCATTATATCAGTCTTAGCAATTAACAAAACAGAATTAATCTTTCCTGCTGTTTCACATGATTTTATTCAGCTTTGCACTTAGCAAATAAAATCGGTTATTTAATGACAACACACTAAATCATTCAAAATGATGCTAGTTTAATCAGCATATATTTTAAAAAGAAATAATTTACCAATATCTAAGCTATATGTACTCTTTTTCATTCTAGAACAGTACAGGAAAATTCGATAACAAAATGCATAAAAGATTACCTTGGTGGAAAATGCAGTCAGGAAGCAGTAACATTTCTCAAGTCTCCGCCAGGTGTTACCTGCTCAGCGACCAATGTGATTGGCCAGATTGTTTTTGTTATTTGTGTGCTTATTATAAAAAATCTGGTTGCATAATATTACAAACATGAAGACAAACCATTATGTACTTTAAACTTACTATATTTCTTCTGATTATAAGTATTATTCTTCCGCCTAACTTTTGCCTCCGTAACCGTAAGACATGTCGCTTTTAGGGTCGCACTATGTATAGTTATTACAAATATCTATCCGAAACTCACCCCGTGAGTCGTAAAATTTTGTCTGTCCAGAGTTATCTGCCCAAAATCCCAAGATATTGTCAATGGATAAACACGATAACTATAGTAAGGAGACAAAATCCAAAGATAGTTCGTTACATTCGGATTGAATAGAATCAAAGACTCATTGATATGGTTATGCCCCTTTGAGAACTAACCGATGTCGGTTGGCCAGTAAAACTATCAAACCGAAAGTCGTAAACACCTGGGATCTTCACTAATGATCATCATTTGATGTGACTAAGAAAATGCGTAACGATCAATTTTGTATGCTGACCTTTGATCGTATGTCTAGTAAGTGGAAACCGTTAAATTTAAAGTAGTCTTGAATAGTGTGAAATATTTGGGTTATTAAGAGGGAACTTTTACATTTCGAATGTGGAGATATGACATTTTCTTAAGGAACATAACACGTGTACTTTTTGACGATGTGTGACGATACATTATTAGTTATAACTCTTAAACAAAAGGTCCTAGACCAAAGGGCCTTTTGTAACGACATCCGAGCCAAAGGTCACAAGGTCAGGTCCTAGATAATGAACTTTGTCGTGTTATGACCATATTTTAATGGTTTTGAATGTTTTTAAAAACTTTTCAATGGACTCTAATGCATCTATTTGAATGTATATTTTATAATATGAAAAGGAAATATTTCGAAACAAACTAAAATTTCAATTCTTCATTTCATTTTTGAGTACTAAAAGTGTTTGGGAATATGCGTTTTTTTAATGGGTAAAAAATGCATGTAATATTCAAATAGTTTAATAATACATCTAAATATATCAAAAATCGTCTAATAACAAACTATCTTATAATATACTATACACTATTTGATCAAAACGTTTAATAAAATGTACATAATAATATATTCATTTGTCAGTTGCAAAGGAATTCCTTCTTCTTGGGGAGCTATCTGTAGGTAAAGTACAAGGACGTACCCTTTCAGGCATAGTACATGGACGATACAATGTGTATAATTGTTTTGTTACTATTGCATGTGTTATTCTTTCCTCGTGATACATGCAAATGTGCAGTTATTGAATTCATTGTCGTTAGTAAAGCTTTGGATGATGATGACATTAGTGACGTAGAGTTTACGAGTATTGTTACATAGACTCTTAAAAACAACACCTACGACACCCTAAGGAAAACACTAACTGATAACACACACCAATATTTTTTAATCTAGTGTTTAGCTAGATTAAAAAATGAATTGGAACGTACACCTTCATTAACACTTTTTTTTTTAATCATCACTTTCACAAAAAAAAAAACATTGTCCACGTCACTATCATTCTCACTGTCCTCATCCAAACCTTCAAAGTCATTATCATTTTCACTGTCCTCATCCTGGTTAAGGGTGTCAACTACAGTCCTAACCATGTTGTATAAAACTCTATCGTCATCACCAATCACCACAACTGTTAATTATCTACTACTAAAGTTGTCAATGATTATGTTAACCATGTCGTTCACACTTTTAGAAATAAACCGTTTTTGAAGAGGTAATACAGTGTAATTAATCGCGTAAACTACTGTGGTAACCCTGTTTTTAAAATAATTTTAACCATTGTCATCTTGCAAGTTATTCATAATTATTGATCAATCATATAAGTTTTAACGTTTTTTTTTCAATTTGAACAAAAATATTTTCTTAACTCGTATAAATAATCAGAGCAATATTTATTATTTTTTTTATAACCTAAACTTTTTATGTAATTACCTTTTAAAAGTACCTTTTCTTTGATAAACCTATTACATGCCCACACCCTTGTTTTAACAACACTTACTTTTAAATTTAATATATAACGCTTACCAACATTTTAATTTTTTTCCTTTTTAAAAACATTATCTCCCAATCTACCTTCCATTGACGCCCAAAGTACATATATGTTTAACTCATCATGTTCTTCAGTTACTTTGTAAATTTTATACCACACATCAATATGAAGATCATGCCATTTTATAACGTCTTTATTTTGCTCCTTTATCTTCTCTTCTAATACATTTTCACTTAAAATTTCATTGTTAAACGAAGCTTTTAGTGTTGCTAATTCCTTCTTAGTAAACGTTTCTTCGCGTGTAAACCTATGATTGGTTTTTTCTTCAATGAAGTTAATTAACATGTCTTTGGATTTCTTAGTGTACCCTATTAACCCCTTATCCTTAGCCAATTGTCAAAGTTGCTTTACAATCATGTTTACCTGCAACTTTTCATTAGATGCATCTGTTTTGTTTTACAAATCTAGCACCACCACTTTCACTTGGTATATGTGTTGTAGATGTTAATCCAGATGGACCAGGTATGTTGTCTGTATTCATTTCTTTATTTACTATTACTAACTCATTTTATAATGGTTTTTTTTCAATTTTCACCAATATTTTTTTAATCTAGTTTTACCTACATTAAAAAATTAACTGGTATTCACTTAGTTGTTTACTGTAGTCACTACTCACATTCTAACCAAGTCGTATGAAAATGTTTTAATTTCTTACTGATTTTAATCCCTGTACTTTTTACATAAGACCCTTCTTAACTATCCTTCTCTTTGTTTAAACCACTATATGCCCACACCCTTGTTCTATCTCCTTCCCTTGTTTTTACAGTTAATATGTGACTTTTACCAAATTTACCATCTACTTCTGTTACTTCAATAATTTTATGCAATACACCAGTGGAAAGGTTTTTCCATTTCAATGTTTCTTCATTTTGTTCTTCTACCTTCTCTTCAAAAGCACTACTACTCATAAAGTCATTATCAAAAGAAGCCATCATAATATAATACTATAGTACTCAACTCCTTATAGTTAATTTTTTCAATTTTTCATCTAAAACGCATTATTCACTATCACTCTCATTGTTAATAACATCCGTAAATTCTGTTGATGAGTCCGATTTTGTATTAAATCAAAAATGGGTTGTCTGTAAATTTCATACATTATGATCTCGAAAAACTCATCGTCAGTATACTCAAATTTGTCTTGAAGGGGGTAAAGAATTCTAACTAACTCTAGTGGGTCTAACTTTTGTATGTAAGAGAGATTATGACAATCTATCGCCAATAAATGATGAGTGCAAAGACATACTTCTGCAGAAACATTATCAGCTATGTCTGCTTTATCTCCATATTCATAAAATCCTCATCATACTTTATACCATCTTAAAAATCATAAACCTTCATTGAGTTCATGTTTTAAAATAGTGTGAGTTGTTGAAAAAAGGAAACGTCCTTTTGTGAAAGTTGAGGTAAGTCATCTCTATCAAGATCAGCGTTAATAATTTTTCTTATACAACATTGTTGTAAGGTCATCATCTTTAGTTATACTTTTTGTTAAAATATACTTTGTCACTTTTTTGGTCTTTTGGAAAATGTTGTTTATGCTGTTTTTAGACCCTTTTACCAAGAAATTTGTTTTGCATGCTTGAAAACAACGTTCAAACCTATTACTGCGTTGGATAAAAACCGCAATTTTCATACGTGTGCATGCAAAACAAATTTCTAGGTAGAGGGGTCTAAATACAGCACAAACAACATTTTTCAAAAGACCAAATGAGTGAAAAAGTATATTTTATCAAAACGCATTTGACTAGCAGGTCGAACAAATGATGTTCTTAAACCCTGCTGACTGCCATTGGCGATTGCCAAATAAACGGATCCCAAGATGTAACAAAATAGATCTTATTATTAATTTATTACCAAACAGAAAACAATAAACTTGCGGAAAAGATGGTATACCGCAAACATGAGGGGAAAAAATTTGTACACCATATCCGGATTTCGACAATTAATGTCTCTTCAGTGATGTTAGGAATCGAAACGGTATTTGGTAGGCCGTATAATTTACCTCAATTTAGGATAGACTCTTGAATTTTGAAAGAGTCAAAATAGGATGAACGGATCATATAAAACCGAAGGCAAATATAATACAAGCCCATACGAAAAAATATAAACAAGTCTAAATTGAAAACAACGTTCAAACCTATGACTGCGTTGGATAAAAACCGCAATTTGTATACGTGTGCATGCAAAACAAATTTCTTTGTAGAGGGGTCTAAATACAGCACAAACAACATTTTTCAAAAGACCAAATGAGTGAAAAAGTATATTTTAACAAAACGCATTTGACTTGCAGGTCGAACAACTGATGTTCTTAAACCCTGCTGACTGCCATTGGCGATTGCCAAATAAACGGATCCCAAGATGTAACAAAATAGATCTTATTATTAATTTATTACCAAACAGAAAACAATAAACTTGCGGAAAAGATGGTATACCGCAAACAAAAGGTGCAAAAATTTGAACACCATATCCGGATTTCGACAATTAATGTCTCTTCAGTGATTTTAGAAATCGAAACGGTATTTGGAAGGCCGTATAGTTTACCTCAATTTAGGATAGACTCTTGAATTTTGAAAAGGTCAAAATAGGATGAACGGATCATATAAATCCGAAGGCAAATATAATACAAGCCCAAACGAAAAAATATAAACAAGACTAAATTGAAAACAACGTTCAAACCTATGATTGCGTTGGATAAAAACCGCAATTTTTATACGTGTGCATGAAAAACAAATTTCTTGGTAGAGGGGTCTAAATACAGCACAAACAACATTTTTCAAAAGACCAAATGAGTGAAAAAGTATATTTTAACAAAACGCATTTTACTAGCAGGTCGAACAACTGATGTTCTTAAACCCTGCTGACTGCCATTGGCGATTGCTAAATAAACGGATCACAAGATGTAAGAAAATAAATCTTATTATTAATTTATTACCAAACAGAAAACAATAAACTTGCGTAAAAAATGGTATACCGCAAACATGAGGTGCAACAACTTGTACACCATATCCGGATTTCGACAATTAAT